GATAATCACATGACAGGATAATCACATGACAGAATACGCGACACACGGTGAGGTTAAAGAAACACTTTGATATCTTAATGAACCTTTATTTATCCAGGATTACACAAGCACCACATCCGATAACAGACTTATTTATATAACAGCACAGCAAACAGTTAGAAACAACACAACATGTTGTAACATTCTTGGTGATTGTACCTCTCATGATGAGCGGGCTGCTCTGGCTGCTGGTGGTTTTAGAAGGAGAGGAATCAGAGTCGGAGTCTTTGGTCAGAATGACAGAGACCACCACCTCCTGACCGCCAGCCAGGGGCTTCTCATGGGACGACAGGATTTCGTCTGCAGGGACAAACGGGAGACAGAGACAGAGACAGTCCATCAGCATGCTGGACAGACGGACAGACATGCATGAGGAAGACAGCTGTACCTTGTCCCTGGATGTGAGAGACATCCAGTCCGTCCTGCAGACGAAGGATCACCACTCCGAACTGCAGGTCGAAGGCGTCGCTGGAACACAGAACATCAGACTTTACTGTCCTGAAATCGCTTCTTTTGTTCACCGTAGAACATCCTCTCTGGCTGCATTCAGACGTCTGCAGACACTAAATACTAACACTTCAGCTGTGTTTGGGTCAAAAACAGAAGACGCATCCGTCCTTACTGTATCGTGTTGATGTAGATCTCCACATCTCGCATGTCTCCGTCACTCCAGTTGTTCTTGAAACCCATGACCAACGTGTTGGGCTTCAGACGGCCCAAACCCACAGCCTGAACACCAGAGAACAAGGATGGGACTATTACATATACTGTAGAACATGGTGTGAAAAATGAACAAGAAGGAAAAAAATCGAAAACGAAATCTTCAGGAATAAAAAGTCGGTGTGTGTTTGAGAAACATTACTTTTCAACAACATATTAATAAATGAAATGTGTGTATGAGTTACAAAAGGAATCACTGATGTCTCTGCACGGTGGAGCAGCTGCAACAAACAAAGTCAATGAGTTTAACGTAGGCGTTCATACCTGCATGAGGAACTGCGCCCCGTGCCTCAGGTTGTCAGAGAACACGTGGGTGTAAAAGGCCTTCAGCCGTTTCTTATTGAGCCAGCGCTGACAGCGGGCGTGTTCCTGAGACAACTCCTTCAAGTTGGGCCGACGGGTCACCTGGAACAGAAGAGAGAGACGGACGCTCAGCGATGTAAAGACGGTCCTGAACGCCACACGGGCCGATGTTCCTCCCTACGTACCGTCCTGACGTGGGCGCAGACCATGAGGCCGACGTTCTTGGTGAAAGAATGAACCAGCTGAAGCAGAGCGGGACGAGAGTTTGGATAACCAGCCAACACCAAACACTGCGGCCTGGAAACATTTTACACGCTTACGTCATGAAATCAAAGTGTCAGTTTTGTGTTTGATGGAAATCACAGCGTGGAAATTCTGGTGAAATTTATTTTAATAGTTTTGCCGTTAGATTTTAATAAATCTGTAAAAAGCCTTTTTTCAGATTTCTACATTTACTTTGAAAAGCTCTTTTCTATAATATTAAGATAAGACAAACCTTAATTAATCCCCAGAGGAACATGGGTATATGAAAATAAAACTAGAATAAAAAAGAGAAACTATACAAAAGCATTTAGAGACAAAAATGGCAAGGTAAAGTGACAGTGGTGGGATTAATTGACCCTTGGCTAAGCCCCGCCCCCCGCTGTTACGTCACCATGGAGCCCACACTGTGACTAACTGCACTCCCTTAATAAATACAATCTAAGATATATGTTTAAAGGATTTATCAGGATTAAAACGATAAAGATAGAAGCTGAGGTGTAAAAGTGAACCAAGAGGTCCAGACAGAAGACAATGAAATTAAAGAACACAGTTCCTCTTTAATCACTGTTACAATCGTTAAAATACATTCAGTAGCCAGCGTAGCATAGGCGTGCTAAGGCTAGTTAATGATGTGCTAACGGAATCTGTTAATATTAGCTCCACCAAACGTTAGGTTTCATAAACCTAATTATTTAAGATTGTTTGTGAATTTGTGTTTTACTAAAAAAGATGTGATGCATTTTTCTTAACAACATGTAAGGTAAAGTGATTCCGGTGTGTTTAAGAGTTTGAAGCATATTTAATGATTATGGAGATGATATCGTGCATTATTTCGGTCAGTATAATAATAAGGAGCCCAGATCTAACCCCTCGAGCTGACCTGAAGTTTTTGACGTGGTCCTCGACGCCGGTGAGGTTCACACAGTGAGTCAGAGCCTGGTTGTAGATCAGAGCCTGAGTGGACGAACCCCAGTTCACATCTAACAGGAAACACACACACACACACACACACACACACATAGTTATAGCTGTGGAGATGAGGTGACGACGTTCAGAGTCTGTGACGTAGAATAAACAAAGGCAGCAGAGCAGGACGGACTAGAGTAGGTTGGAACAGTGGTTACCAACATAAATGTGCGACTTTTATCCCCTTCGTTGGTGTTTTATTGTGAAATACTGGATCTGTATCAGCGATGCAGACCTTATTTCGAGGTTTCGGTTATCTGCCACGATGTGATGAATCCTCACACAACGGTTCGTATGATATCTTATGAAAAGTTGCTCCTCATTTTTCATGCGTTTCCCTCCTGAGGAGGAGTGACGTAGAGACGCCGTATACGTCTCTGGTAGAGAC